CCCTGCCATATTCTTGCTTGTTAGATAACCAGATTAGTCCCCCGTCAACCGCCGGGACCTTCCTTTCCTGCGCAAGCTTTCTATCCTCCGCTATGGTCCCTTCCTCCTGTGACACCAACACCTCCTGGAAGTGACGCGTATGCAACACAATGGTGTTTCATACAGTAGAAGGGACACAATCATGATATGACGGTAGATTTTTCGCTTCCCTTCCTCATCCTCCCTTCCTCTCTCCACTGCCCTCCAGCTGCCACTGCAGCACCATGTGGAATGAACGGAAGTGTGCTAAGCAGGTGTTTATATAGCCCTAAGAGTGTTATCACAACTATCCTGCTACAAAACATTGATATCTCAAATCCTGTAAGCTACCCGATTTGTTAGCGGTTTGTTTATCCCATGAGCTTCCTTCTCACTCACTTCATTTTGCGGACGGACACACATACATACATACATACATACATACATACATACATACATACATACATACATACATACATACATACATACATACATACATACATACATACATACATACATACATACATACATACATACATACATACATACATACATACATACATACATACATACATACATACATACATACATACATACATACATACATACATACATACATACATACATACATACATACATACATACATACATACATACATACATACATACATACATACATACATACATACATACATACATACATACATACATACATACATACAAACCGACACACAAAGTTAGCGCTTTATAAAATAGAAGGATTCAGCGGTGAATAGAATTATGGCTTTAGCTTCACAATTAAATTGCAACATTATCATAAGTGAGCATCTAATGCTGATCCTTCATTCACAGTGTTCGCAAATCCTAAGCTTTGGCGGTCATTAAATGAGTTCTGGTCTTCTTGGTATTAGATCAAGAATGGAATGTACCATTCGCCAAGAGTCTGCTCAAGCCAAGCTGATTATATCGATAGAATGTCCACGACCCACCCCTAATAACACTTATGAAAAGAGCCCCATAGTGCCAACGTGAACTGCGCAATGGAATTGCCGACTTCTGCCTTCTAAGACTCCTTATCAGCCCCTATCAGTTGCTATCATTTTTGTCGCCCACCTACAATGTCCAGGTACCACCCCATATAACACTTGTAATTATGAACGCTCAAGTGTCAATGTCAGCTGCTCAACGGAATGGGGACTTGTGAGTTCAAGGCGCCCTGACAGCCCTTATTAGTTTCTATCATCCTATTTCACCCACAGTGTCCCGGTACCACCTCACATAACACTTGTAAGTATGAACGCTCTAGTGTCAACGCGAACGCTTGAGTCAAATTTAATGAAAAGAAGGGTTGGGAGAAAAATTAAAACGAAAGTGAAAGGAAACAAAGGAAAGTAGCTGACAAATACACAGGCCAAACCTCGCTCAAATTTGTCGCGCGGTTTCCCGCACGCGGCAAGCCGCGTGTACGACGTCGCGCGGTGACTGCCCACAGGCCTAATCCTTAGCTCTTGCTTTACAGCCAAACCCCGAAATGAATTCGATCCTACTGAATGGTTGTTCTTATACTGGTAGGAAAGTGGTATCACAATCACGATATCTTTCGCCTCTAGTCGACCATTTTGCGGACGGACAGACAGACGTGCAAACACACACACAAACAAACCGACACACCAAACTTCTGGTTTATACAGTGCGTACCAAAAGTATGTGGACACCCTAGAATCGATTCTCAGGAGTCAGCTAAAGGCTTTTTGTGTTATGAAACCTTCACCATTCAACTCCTAGTGGTCGATAACCTACAATGACATTTTCGGCAAAAGATTTCGTTCTAACTTAGCGAACTATTTTTCATGGAAAGTTTTTTCTTTGTATCAAAATTATGTGGACACCCTGAGGCAGATGAAGTTTTTGCATCGATTTCCTAACCTATTTTTACTTCTCCTTTCGTTACTTATTCTGGCATCATTCCTCTTCACGGCAAGCGTTTTTCTGAAGAAGACCGAGCACAGAAATGGGATCCCCATGCTTCTGAACCTTCCTATTGCGAAATAGCACGTCAACCAGTCATGCGTCCTCGTAGGTTTGGAGAGAAATCCGAAATCCTGATGCTAAGCTCTCGACCTTGACTGAGGGTTGTTCTCAATCGCTACTTGTTCAAAACAGGAGAAGAATAGCCTTAATTTTCTCAAATTATTCTTTTCGTACTACTCAACTTTACGCATAAATGATCTTCCCGATCTTAAAAAAGACCAATCGGTGTCTCATTCAATCAATTGAGCACACGACACGAAAGAAGATGAAGAAGGCTTTGTATATGAATGCGGGTTCAGGTTGGCAAGGTTGGAATTCCCACTCAAAAAAGGATCACAACATGATACTTTGAACCCACACAGACAGTGCTTTCGTGGAAATGGTAAAATTAGTATAAAAGACTTTCTGTGGAAATTTCTCTCATAGACCAACTCGACTGGCAGAAAGAAGCTTATTCCTTACTATTCGGGTGGGTCTTGAGGTTTTTGGAGAGACTTTGGTCGGACCCGCAGATGTGCTCGAAGAGACAATTCGGAAGATGTTCATCAAAGGTCTGGGGTGGTTCCAAAAGGAGGGGGACATTGAAGTTTGGCTTGCCAACATGTCAGGTAGACGACTAGGATTATAATGAGGTGCTTGAGTCCCGGCTACAACCTTTTTCGAAAAGTCATGGTTGCAAATCACTTGTTTTGCAGGGGAGGTCCCTGACACCATTCCATTTGGAAAAATGCTAAACGCAACGGCTTTGATTGGCAAGTCGGCTAGCGTATTCCTCAGACTTCATCCTTATTGAAAACGTAGAGGTATCGTGGTTCGCGGTCTCTACGTCATTGAACAAAAGAGTAATATCACAAGTGACCTAACACGTCGGTGAAATTTGCTAGTTGGGAACAGATCTGCAAGACATGTATCCAGACCCCATTCATAGCATGCCAAACAGAATGGCTCAACTTACTAGAAACTTTGGTAGGCCTACCGATTTCAGATTTTGAAGATATTGCCGTTTTTCAAAAAGTGTCCACATAATTTTGATACAAAGAAAAAACTTTCCATGAAAAATAGTTCGCTAAGTTAGAACGAAATCTTTTGCCGAAAATATCATTGTAGGTTATCGACCACTAGGAGTTGAATGGTGGAAGGTTTCATAACACAAAAAGCCTTTAGCTGACTCCTGAGAATCGATTCTAGGGTGTCCACATACTTTTGGTACGCACTGTATGATAAAGTGAAGTATATCCTTGCATAGCTTCCATGCGTTGACCACTGATGTTAGTGCGATCAAATGGAAAAATTCTTTCGTGCCGTCATGCTGTTTTACCCACAAATGGCGTACACGCTGCCATTTGAGCACAGTGAAAAACGAATGAATTCATCTCGTTGTAACTTTGAACAAATTTCGGCTTCTGTGAAGATCCCGTTGGGGCATCGTGCTTTGTTGAGATCATGTACAAATCTCTCTCATCACTTTATTTGAGTACCAAGATACCTTTTCAGTTCTTTTTGCAATGCAGCTCTCCATTCTAAACCCGGATTGGCACGGCAGATGGGACTATGTGGTTCAATTCTCCACGACAGATTTCTGCTGTCACTTCTAAATCTGCGCCAAATTGCTTCAGAGTCGAACTTAACGCCATGCTTGCAATCAGAACCTTCAGTAATTGCGGCGAATGGGTTTTCTATCGATCTGCCGCCCCAATCCGAGGCCAAAAATGAGTGCCATCTTTGTCATTAGCATCATTTGACTTCGACTTTAGATTTTCACTAAAAAGTCGGGGGTGGGGGGATCATGGGCTCCAAGTCGACGCAAGCGTGCGATATGAAAACGAGTGCGGCGCGGAAACCAAGGGAATTGCTTAGATGAGCCACGAAAACCAAAATCTGGTTTCATAGGAAACATCTCCCACCACGTCGCGGTCCGTGAAATGGCTCCTGCTAAATAGGTGAAACTTTGCAATTGGAAATGCCGTGGAGGGAAAAACCTGCCGACTTCAACATCGTGCGTGTTCTTTTGCCCATCAAAAGCTTGGGTGTCTGCCATTGTCCATTTAGCAGTGGATACTTCTCATTATTTGAGAAGGATGGCGAGGACATCGTTTCCAGTTCACCAGTTGATGGTACTATGAGCTGCTGTCTTACTGATGGCAAAGTTTTCGGATTCAGGTCAAAATCTCAATTTTCTCCAAAAATTCTAAGTCAAGGAAAATCTAATGCCTATATCACGAAGATAGCACCCATTTCTCCTGCAGCTCCAATTTACCCCACTTAGACGCCACTTGTGATGCTGCCACCTTTTTTTCCGCCAGATTGCAGTTAAAATCTGGGTGCAATAGCTACTGAAATTCTTCAATAAGTAGGTGCCTACTGTTAGCGCTGGCGCTACTATTGGGAGCAAACTTGAAAGCTCTAACCTATAATGTCAAATTTTTGTCAAGAGGGATTGAACCTTGGACCATTTCCTCACCTTTTTTGGCCTTCGCGGGGCCGCTCAGCGAAAATGGACCTCGGTTTTGTAGTCCACGCATGAGCTCCTATAACATGCAGAAGACCGTTTGGAAGAAGCGTTCCACACCATGAACGAACTTTCATATCAGAGAAAGTCCCGTATCTCGCAGTTCACCATGCTTTTTGTATGTCTTTGGAAAAAAGGTGAGGCGCGCAGTAGATAGATCAGGAGTTGTTTGGAATACATCGCAGTTCTTGGCATGAACTTTTTTAAGCGTCTGAGAGCCAAGTATATACTGCGGATGCTTTTCAACATATTGTTTTCTGATAGCAGAGCGAACAGTTGTCTCAGCTGATGTCCCCCGTCGAACAATGGACCCCCAGCTCCATCAGATTTTGGAAAGAAGAGTAAGCCTGTCCTCTTGGAGAACACTGTGTAGTAGGATAGTAGCTTAGTAAGTGCTATTATCAAATTGTCTGCTGCGTTAAAAGAAAGAGCAGCTTACTACTCACATGATTTCCTCAGTGGTTGTTGGTATTGGTTCCACCTTCACCGTAGTAGTATAGGTTGTTGTAGAGGTTTCTGTTGTAACACGTCGTGATGGTTTGTGCCTCCGAGGTGTAGTTTTACGGATTGTCGAAGTTGGTGAGGTTGCAGAGGTCGTTGTGGGCGGGAATGTTTCTACTGCTAATACGTTCGTAGGCACAGGTTTTCCAGTCAAAGGTTTTGGAGGCTTTGGCGCTGTTGTTGGTGCAGTTCCACGTTTAGTTTTAGAGGATGATGCTTGCCGTCCGGGAGGCTTGGTCTTGCCTTGGTACAACATATGTCGTCTTTCCAACAAATTTCTTTCAGTGAACAACATTTCAGTGGGTTCACCTGAATCCTTCTCGTGATCCATTTCCCTGATATTCGCAAATCCGTCCAACCGACCGACCTGTAATCAAATTCACTTGCGAAGCTGTGTTTATCTGCAGGGTCTAAAACTAAACTTCTTCAACATCGCTGAAACAAAAATTCACAAAGCCAGGACAACAAAAGATTACAGCATAAAATAAATAAGGAATAAACTCGACCTCAACTGCATAGGGGAGCACGACCAGACATGACATGAGAATCGAGAGAGGTACCATCAAGGAGTTAATGAAGTAAGAGAATGAGGCCCACCACAACGAACGAGTGTGTGTTGGAAGGTTCGACTGTGTATATCAGCTAATGCATGTTCATTAAACGACAGAATTATGGTGTGCGGCGTTTTCTCGACATGCATATTAATGATCAGCATATTAATGTTCATATGCGCATAATAGGGAAGCTGCAATAATATTCGCAGTACTTTGTGCTTTTTGAGCAGCTATTAAGGCAGAACAACACGGAATACATTAGTCACGCCTTTTTCCCAATGCTATTCTGCCATTATTACACCTAGCGGCGAAAAATCGCAGCCGCGATAAAGAAAGTCCAAAGAAAGTTATGTTCAATAACAATGCTACTACATATAGTCGGCTAAGTGTGTGTATGTGTGTATAAGTATGTATGTGAGTTGGTAGTGGTGCGTATGTGTATACATGTTGTATGTGTGTATTATATGTATTATATATATCCTACTATATATAATCGGCTAAGCGGTTGTGTGTGTGTGTGTGTGTGTGTGTGTCTGACCGGAAATTCATAACTTCGTTCCTTTGATCCCAGAGCGCTCAAACTTCTAGGGTATATAGGGGGTCGGGGCGTGAACACTGATGATGGGTGGCGGAAAGTGATAAGTACTGATAGAAGCTGATAACGGGCGCGTTTCGAGAATCCCCGCATGCCTACCCACTCCGTCTTTTTTTTTTGTAGCCGTTGGCGCTTGTCAGTGGAATTGCTAGCAATCATGAAATATTGTGTTAGGGTAGGAACTGGGACCCAAATCGGTGAGCCGAAGAATAAAATATCCTACTATATATAATCGGCTAAGCGGTTGTGTGTGTGTGTCTGACCGGAAATTCATAACTTCGTTCCCTTTGGACCCAGAGCGCTCAAACTTCTAGGATATATAGGGGGCGGAGGTGAACACTGATGATGGGTGGCGGGAAGTGATAACTACTGATAGAAGCTGATAACGGGCGTCAGAATGCCGATGTCACCAACTTCCTTACGCCGTTCGCGTTGGCAGTGGATTGCTAGCACTCATGAATATTGTGTAGGGTAGGACTGGGACCCAAATGGTGAGCGAAGGAAAGTGATAGCAAATGATAAGGGCTGATAAGGGCATCGGAATGCTAACGTCGTCAGTTTCGCAACGCCCTTTGCGTTGACCCTAAGATGTTCGCACTCATGAATATTATGTGGGGTGAGGCAGGGACCAAAAGGGTGATTGGAAGAAGGTGGTAGCAACTGATAAGAACTGATAAGGGGCGTCAAAGTGTGGATACCACCAGTTTCGTTGCGGCTTTCGCGGTGACATTGGAACCTTAGTTGTCACATGTGATATCACATCTTGTCATGTCACATGTCACATGTCACACGGATATCATATCATATGTCATATCACATGTCACACGGATAGTGGGTGATCAAAAGCGATAACAACCGATAACGGTTGATAAAGAAGTTAGGATTTTGAGTACCGCTGATTTCGTTGTAGCCTTCGTGGTGACAGTAAATATTAGCTCCTACACGCTACAAGATGGGACGGAGATACGGTGAATGTGGGTGACAGAAAGGGGTATGAAAGGCAGGTGCACTAATAAAAATAGCGACAATTGAGTGTGCACTCGGTTAAACTGAACCAGATTCCTAGCACGGGAATATGTTCCATTTCCTTTCATCTAAAAAAGCAAAGGAAGTTGAGCTGCTCCACTATCTGGACTTGGACTAATAGCGAATAAAATCATATTTCCAATTTCCATCATGGTTGATGCTGATTGATTGGTTATATTTCACTTACACACCGATTCTTCAATTGTGGAAATTCTATAAACCGCTAAATCGCCCGAGCTCGATATCAATGCTAAATGTTTACGAAGTCATGATAAGTACCATTTTCATTCCGCATGCTACTGCGCGCATTACGCGACAATCTTCAGCGAAAATTGGACAACCTTTAAACTCATGTGACACATCTTCCAAAACATCTTACTGTTAGTTTCTCAGCCACGTGACCTAATATTCTGCAAGTTGTCCAGTTTCACTAAAGCCCATGTGATGCGCGCGGTTGCGTGCGGAGCTAAACTGGTTATATATAAAGGATAAAGCATTTC